TTGTGAAATTGCCTCCAGAAAGTTTGAGTCAATGTACATTCCTTTTAAAGTATAGGAAGGTACCTATTATTTCATACCATGGTCAACACTAGTTATTACTGTTCTTTTCAAACTTTTCTAATTGTGTTGGTTAAACATGTTTTTTCATTTTATCTTACTTGGAATTCCACTTAATTCTAGTGAGGTGACATACTTTTCATGCTCGTTAATCATATTATATTTTCCTTTTTTTAAATAATTTGACCATTTTTAAACTGTATTATACCTTTCCATGGATTTCTAAGAACTCTTGCTTAGCTGGTACTCTACCACTTGAGACATACCTCCACTTCTGGTTTTTTTCCTGGTTAATTGGATGAAAATCTCTTGGCTTTGAATGTCTGGCTCAAGTATAATACCATAATGAATAACTGCAATATATACTTGAATATAACATGCTATACTTTACTATGTAGGAAAAATTTGAAGCCAAATATTAGTAACTATGATCTATACATTTTTTGGATGATAGGTAATCTTTACTCTCTTGTTATTCTGGCTTTGAAACAAGATCCCCAGATCTCAGCCTCCTACGTAGCTAGATTGCAGGCATGAGCCATTAACACCTGACTTTTTTTCAGTATTTATATTTTAAGTCATTTTGAATTTATTTGATATGTAGTATGAGGCAGGGAATCTAACTTTTCCCTCTAACTTCTTAATGAGTTATTTCAATAACAGTTGGACTAAATAGTCTATATTTTTTCTATTGATTATAATGCCTTAATAAAGCAAATTCTTAATTTTTATAGATAACCAATCATTTCTCTACTTGCCTTTTATGGATTTTTAACTGTTTTTTTTGTCTTTTCTCTTTTGGTACTGGGGATCAAACCAAGATGTTGTACTTGCTAGGCAAGTGCTTTGCCACTGAGCTACATCTTAGCCCCTTTTGTGGATTTTTAAAGCTCTGTAGCTATATATGTTAATTCTTTAGAACTATTTATTGTTTAACTATCCAAGTTGACCACATGAGCTCTTGAAAGATGATTGCTACTTTTAATTGAAAGCATAAAGCCAACTTACTTTGGCAGTATGATGAAGAGAATTCCTCCCCTGTATCAGTTTCAGGTGTGGAAAGACCTAAAGACCTATTCAAATCCTCTATTTTATATTTTGTGCCAGTCCTGGGGCTTGAACTCAGGGTCAGGGCCTGGGTGCTATCCCTGAATTTTTTGGCTCACTCTACCACTTGAGCCAGACATTATTATTATTAGTGGTAGTAGTATGCCAGTCTTGAGGCTTAAAATCAGGGCCTGGGTTTTGTCTCTGAGCTTTTTTAGCTCAAGACTATTGCTCTACCAGTTGAGCCACAACGCTACTTCTGGCATTTGGGGTAGTTATTTAGAGATAAGAGTCTCAGAGATTTTCCTGCCTAGGCTGGCTTTTTTTTTTTTTTTTTGGGTCCGGTCATGGGGCCTGAACTCTGGGCCTGGGCGCTGTCCCTCAGCTCTTCAGCTCAAGGCTAGCGCTCTACCACTTGAGCCCAGCACCACTTCCAGCTTTTTTCTTTTTGCTAATGTGGTGCTGAGGAATCAAACCCAGGGCCTCAGGCATGCAAGGCAAGTGCTCTACCACTGAGCCAACTTCCCAGCCCCTGGGCTGGCTTTTAACCGCAATCCTCAGATCTCAGCTTCCTGTGTAGCTAGGATTACAGGTGTGAGCCATTGGGGTCCAGCTCTAATCCCCTTTTTATAGGCAAGTGCCAGAAATATTAACTTATTCACGGTTAACCATTGTTAACCATTGTTAGCCATGCAACCTGCAGCTAGAAAGTTAACTAGTAGAGAGTTAACTCTAGAAAGATATAAGTGAAAACACTTATGAGAGGCTTTATCAAAGAGAACCAAGGCAGAATTAATTGAAGGGTGATCTTTAGATCTCCATAGTATAAAATCTTTGGGGGAAATGAGAAGTTCCTGGAGCACCAATTTTAGAAGTAGTTGCATATATTGACAGTCCAAATGGGGAATGTTACTAACACTAAATAGGGAGCATGCAGTACTCGTGTGTATTCAGTAGTAGTGGTATTCAACACTTCTCAGGAGAGGAGTGCTTGGCTGATGAAGGTCATTTAGGCTGCCAGATAGCAGCTTGGGCGGCTGGCCTAGGGACCAGAAATGTGACTGGGGGAGAGAAGCAAAGCAGAAGAGCTTTTTATAGCCAAGGCCTGGGAAGAAACACTGATAAGTCCCAGGATGCCTGTGTGTGCACTTTCACTTTCTGTAGTGAAATACTCTCAAACTATGATCTTTAAAAGCCATACATTTGTACAATTTAAATGGTTATTAAAATAAAAGCGTAAACTAATGTACAGAATTTACCAACATGACAAGAAAGAAAAAAAAGCAATCCAACTTTCTCTTATTCTTCCCTCCTAGGGGAAATCTATTATTCTCCAGTAAACAGCCTCTTTCTGAGTAGACTGGAGTTTAAGAAATACATATGGTTTCCTAAAGATACTTTGTGTTTTAATTTATTTTTAAGGAGGAATATGGTTTTCCAATTCAAAATATGCCATAGGGTATAGGGTGAGAAAACTGTCCCCCGCATGTTTCCCTCAGCTACTGGACTCCTGATGCCTGGGAATTCCTAGTTCTGCTTTCCCATGCACCAGATTTATTTTAGACATGTCCAAATACATAAACATGCAAGATATAATTGTTATTATTATTTGGTAGTACTAGGGTTTTAAACTCAGGGCCTCATGTTTGCTAGAAAGTTCTCTGAACCTTGAACTATATCCATGGTCCTCCTCCTCTTCCTCTTCTTCCTCCTTTTCTTTTGTTTCTTCTTCTCTTTATTGGAGATTTTTTTCAGCTTTAAAAAATTTTTTCTTTGTTATTATAGAGGTGATGTACATTTACATGAGTCAGGTAATAAATATGGCTTCCTTTCATACAGTGTCAACTGTTGCCTCATTCTCTCCCAATCCTTCCACCCATCTACACCCACGAGTTGTATCATTCACTTTCATCAATGCCCAGTGAGCTCCACTGCTGCACTTTTCCACCCTTTTTCCCTCAAGTTCTGTGCCTCTACCTCATTCTCTCAAAAATATACATATGAATACACCATATATAAGTTAAAGAAGACAGAATTATCAAAAAAAAACTACAAAAGAGTCTTTTGTCTCCATATCTTGGAGTTCACTTCAGAAGGTAAATTATTTTACATACATGTATATTATTTAAATATTTGAAGAGGTGCTTAGTCTTTGTGCCTTTGTGATTCTCCTAAGAGTATCCTCTTTGAGTCTCAATGTATGTATCTTGAATCCCATATAATTTGTCATATCCCAGTGCATTTTATATCTAACATCCACATATCAGATTGAACATACAACATTTGTCTCTGAGCTTGGTTTACCTCACTTAACATGATTTGTTCTAGTGCAAATAACATTATTTTATTCGTTCTAGTGCCTGTATAAAATTCCATTGTTTATAGGTAACACATTTTTGACATCCACTCATCTATTGTGGGACATCTGGGTTGTTTCCATATCTTGGCTATTATGAATAGTGCAGCAATGAACATGGATGTACAGGTGTCCTTATCATATTCTGGTAGATCCCTAATAGTAACATGGCTGGACTGTAGGAAAGATCTATGTTTAGTTTTTGAGGAACCTCCAGACTGCTGTCCAGAGTGGTTGTACTAGTTTTACATTCCCACCAGCAGTGCAGTAGGGTGCCTTTTTCTCCACATCAGTACCAACATTTGTTGTTCGAATTCAGAATGTTAGCTACTCTAACTCGGGTCAGATGGAATCTCAGAGTTATTTTGATTTGCCTTTCCTTTATGACCAGGGATGATGAGCATTTCCTCATGTGTTTCTTTGACATTTTTACCTCTTCTGAAAAGTCTCTCCTTAGCTCCCTTGCCCATTTAGTGATTAGTTACTAGGTTTGGGAGGGGTTAGTTTCTTGAGGTCCTTGTACATATTGGATATTTGGCCTTTGACTGATGCATTGCTGGTAAAGATCTTCTCCCCATTGATTGGCTGCCTTTCTAGTTTAGTAGCTATGTCCTTATCTGTACAGAAACTTTTTATTTTGATCTCTTCAGCTTGTTTCAGATAGAGTCTCCTCGTTTTGCCTAGGACTGGTCTCAGGCAGCAGTCTTCCAACTTCTACTTCCCTAGTAATTGGTCCTGTATAGGTATGCACCAAGTTACTTTTCCCTGCCTTTGGAGTACTAGAGTTTAAACTTAGGACTTTGCCCTTGCTAAGCAAGTTCTCTTGAGCCATCTCCCAACTTTTCTTTTTGATCTAGTTATTTTTGGGATAGGGCCTCATGTTTATACCTTGGCCAAGCTGGAACACCATCCTCCTATTTATACATCCAGCCATAACTGGAAGACAAGCACAAACCACTATGCCCAGCTTTGTATTGATTGAGATGAAGGTCTCATGAACTTTTGGGACGGGTGTCAAACTGTGATCCTCCTATCTCTGCATCCTGAGTAGCTGGGATTACAGATGTGTACTGCTTTGTTGTAGCTAGGACTTACAGATATGTGACACCACACTTGGCCTACAGTATACTCTTTTGTGATGAATTGCAGCTAAAAGAAAGCTTGAGGTATAGCTAGAGTGGTAGAACACCTTCCTAGCAAGCTCAATGTCCTTAGTTCAAATCCCAGTAGCACCAAAACAAAGAGAGAAAAAATAATTTTATCTAAAAATGAATGTACTAAACACACATTCTCTAAATATGTACATAGTGTACCACACACACATGCTGCACCGTGATATGTTTACTTAATAATCCAGACTTAAAGAACTATTTCATTCTTTGTTATAGCCCCATTCTATCACATGAGTAAAGCCAGTCTTACTTAACCAGTTCCCTTGTATTTGGGTATCTACATTGTTTCAAATGTTGCTTTTACAATAATACTGTAATTAAGAGTTCTTATGTTAGCAAATTCCTATCAAGAATAAATCCCAGGTGGCGCCCCGACCTGTAGAAATCCGCCTGCTCCGCGGCCCTGTCACGTCTACCCTACGTACGATTCCGAAGGAGGGCACCCAGCTTATAGAAATGGGACGACGGTCATCAGAAAGCAGAAGCAAGAGAAAAAAGAAACACCGAAGGCGGTCATCTTCAAGCAGTTCTTCCGATAGTAGAACGTATAGCCGAAAGAAAAGTGGGAGAAAGTCCAGGTCAAAGTCTAGGTCTTGGTCCAGAGATCTTCAGTCTCGTTCACATTCTTATGATAGAAGACGCAGGCACCGGTCAAGCAGCAGCTCGTCTTTTGGCTCTAGAAGAAAACGAAGTCGAAGTCGTTCACGAGGTCGGGGCAAATCCTACAGACTTCAAAGGTCTAGGTCAAAAAGCAGAACAAGAAGGTCCAGGTCAAGACCTCGTCCGCGTTCCCACAGTCGAAGCAGGGAACGGTCCAGCCATAGAAGGACTCGAAGTCGATCCCGGGACAGAGACCGTCGTAAAGGCAGAGACCAAGAGAAGAGAGAAAAGGAGAAGGAAAAAGCCAAGGACAAGGAATTGCACAGCATCAAACGTGGGGAATCTGGAAACATCAAAGCTGGATTAGAACATCTGCCACCAGCAGAGCAGGCCAAAGCCAGGTTGCAACTGGTCCTTGAAGCTGCTGCCAAAGCTAATGAAGCACTGAAAGCCAAAGAGAGAAATGAGGAAGAAGCAAAGAGAAGGAAGGAGGAAGACCAAGCCACCCGGGTGGAGCAGGTGAAGAGAGTGAAGGAAATCGAAGCTATTGAGAGCGAGTCCTTCTTTCAGCAGACGTTCCGGTCGAGTAAAGAAGTCCGGAAGGCCGTGGAGCCCAGTGAGGTAAAGCAGGCAGCTCCAGCTGCAGGCCCAGCGGCCACGGCTCCCGAGCTGCCCAGTGTCGGGAAGGAGCTGGACCCCAGCAGCATCCCCACCGCTATCAAGTACCAGGACGACAACTCTCTGGCTCATCCGAATGTGTTTATTGAGAAAGCTGAAGCTGAGGAAAAGTGGTTCAAAAGATTGATTGCCCTTCGACAAGAAAGACTAATGGGAAGTCCTGTAGCCTAAAAACAAATGTGGTTAACAGTGACATTGCTTATGTTGAAGTGACATTGCTTATGGTTAACAGTGACGTTGCTTATGGTTAAATGGCATTGGGTTTTTAAATCCCAGTACAACTTTTGCACATTAAAAAGAACTTAGATGAAAATATGAAAAGGTGACTTCATGTTCTTCTTCCCTCATGTAGGTATGAATATTTGTTGATTTGAACAGAGTCAAATCTAACAAAACTAGTATGAAATTTAACAGTACGTGCAGATGTTATACTGCTAACAGTGCTCATCATAAAAAGTTCAGTGTTAATAAATGGTACTCAGTAGTGTTTCCCTGTACTATTGGAAAACGCCAAGCTTTTGACTCCTTATTGATTAACTGTGCACATAAAAGAATCAAATTATTTTCTGCCCATCTGAGATTTCATCTCCCATGTGCTGTGAAAATGCTTTTGAGTCCTTTCTCTCACCTGTTTGAAAATGTTTCAACACAATAAAAGCACTGTATCAGCCAAATGAGCATGTTAAAGGAGTAACATGTTTGTTGCTAAAAATCTTTAGAATTAAATAAATGCAGTTTTCACCTAGAAAAATAAAAAAAAAGTAAAAAGAATAAATCCCAGCTGGGCGCCGGTGGCTTACACCTGTAATCCTAGCTACTCCGGAGGCTGAGATCTGAGGATCACAGTTCAAAGTCCATGAGACTCTTATCTCCAATAAACCACTAGAAAACTGGAAGTGGTGCTGTGGCTCAAGCAGTAGAGCACTTGCCTTGAGCTGAAGAGCACAGGGACAGCTCCCAAGCCCAGAGTTCAAGCCCCACGACTGACAAAAAAAAAAAAAGAAGAAATCCTAAAATAGGAAATGATAGGTAAATGGATATGAGCATTTGTAATTTTGACAGAAATTGCCAAATTTCCCCTCCTTGAGATTGTAGAAAGTACCTGTTTCCTCATACCTTTCAAAATCTTTGCTAATGTAGTACATGAACAATATCTTGGCCTAGTTTTAATTTCTATTTCTTATGCTGTGAATGGGATTGAAAATCTTATGTCTGTCTTGTAAATTCATATCCTTAGTCCTTTTGGTTGCTCTTTTTCATATTGCTGTGTAATAATGTGCATGTGTGCACGTATGTGTGTGTATGTGTGTGCGTGTGCATGTACATGTGTGTGCATGCCAGTCCTGGGGCTTTTTTTGCGCAAGGCTAGTAGTGCTCTTCCAATTGGAGGTAAGAGTCTCACACACTTTTCTTCTTGAGCTGGCTTTCGATTTTGATCCTCAGATCTCAGCCTCCTAAGTATTTAGGATTACAAGTGTGAGACACAGGCACCTGGCTGTAGCAGCTTTTTATGTAATGAGGTAATTAGCTATTTATGATTTTTTTTCCAGTCCTGGGTCCTAGACTGGGCACCGTCTCTGAGCTTCTTTTACTCAAGGCTAAGCACTCTACCTCTTGAGCCACAACGCCACTTCCAGCTTTTTCTGTGTGTGTGTGTGGTAACAAGGAATCGAACCCAGGGCTTTAAGCATGCGAGGCAAGCACTCTACCACTTAGCCATATTCCCAGCCCCCACAATGCATCTTGATCAATGCTACCCCTTCCATCATTCCCCTATGTCCCCTCCCATCCCTATCCTCAAGTTATATAGTTTAATTTTTTTCATAATGTACATTGAATACAATTACTGCATTTTATTCCTTCTTCCTCCCTCTATTATTCATCACAAATAGTCCTTGTAGTTAAAAGAAGAGATTTTAAAGTCCCACTGGATTCAAATTCAAAACCAGCCCTTGATAACTTTTTGACTTTGGAAGAATCACATGTTTTATTTGACCCTCAATTTCATTGTCCATAAATTGGAATTGTTAGAGTTATTGATTGGCTGAACCAGCTCCAATTCCCTAAGTTCCTGTGTTAGCAAAGTGAAACCCAAATTGATATAAACAGTAAAGTGGAACTTCAGTTTAACCAATCAGAAATCACCAACTAACTTAATTAGGGACTTTTGCTGGAATGGTCTCACTCAGGCTCTGTTATATAATTAGGTATTTACTTTGCTTTGCTTCTGTACTCACCATAAAGCCTTTCCCTTCTGCCCACTGGTGGAGCTTTCAACTGTCTAAATAGGGCTAAAATGGCTTAGATCACAAGTTCCTGTCTATTCAAATAAGCTCTGCAATGTATGTGTGCACGTGCTGGTACATTCAGAGCCTGGCACTATCATTTGACTTTTTCATTCAAGGCTACACCTCCACTTTTGGCTCTTTGGAGCCAAGAATCTTTTTGGAGATAAGAATCTCACAAACTTCCCTGCCCAGACTGGCTTTGAACCCCCAGAGCCAAGCACACACTAACATTTTAATGTGTCAAACTTTAGGTTTTTATTTTTATTTT